GGCCCCGCCCAAGGCCCCTGGGCACCCGCCTCTCAGGGCGACCCTCCCCGCACCCAGACGCCGGACACTGGCCCCGCCCAAGGCCCCTGGGCACCTGCCTCTCAGGATGACGTGGCCACCACTGCCTCCATCGCCACCATCAGGGCCTCCAAACTCCTTCCGAGGCTCACTGTGGAAGCAGCTGACGCCGTTGCCCCCGTCTCCCCCGCGGACGAGCACTCTCCGGTGATCCACGAAGTACCTTTTCTGTCAAGAGCGCAGGGCACCTCAGTGTCACCGACAGTTCAGATGCTCTCTGTGAACCTCTGGACCTACTGCCCTGCGATCACCTTGAAGCCCCAAACCACAACCGTCCCGACGTCTTCCTACGACTACACAGGAACCGAGCTTCACCAGCGTGGCCCGGCTGCCTCTCGAGCAGCACGCTCCTCCCAGACCTGTCGCTGTGGGATCAGCGACAGCAGCAGCCTGAAGGGCAGCAGGAAGCTGGGGCAGGGCACAGGTTTCCGTCAACGGGGGAGGAGCGATTCGGAAAAGGAGGGTGACGTGGTTGTACAACTCGAAGAATGCCACCAGTGTTGCTGGGCTGTGTGCGGCACAACCACTGCCCTGGTACGTGCTGTGCCGTGTGCGTTCCCAAAACAGCAGAGGTAACCATGACAAAACCCCGCCCGGGGCCTAACCCCCGTCTACCTGGGCCTCTTCTATCTACAAGGGGGCACTGTACTTGCTGAGCCCTACTAAGACCCAAGGGAGCTCTGGTAGCCTAGTGCCTAAGGCACTTGACTGCTAACCAGGAGGCTGGTGGTTCAAACCCACTAGCCACTCCTCGGAAAGAAGGATGGGGAATCTACTTCCCTAGTGATACTGCCTTGGAAACCCAAGGAGGGGTCGCTATGAGTCGGGTCTGACTCGACGGCACATAACAACAACAACAACTAAGACCCAGAGACAAAATCCTTCCTGCAGGGCACGAGCATCCGTCGGGACAGGACCCAACGCTGCAGCTCACGGGGTTGGGGTTTCCAACCCAGCGATAGCAGGATCTGTGTCCACAACACGTCTCTCTGGCTGCTTCCTCAGACAGAAGATACTGAAATAACGGTCCTGGCCAGTGGACCCGAGTCCTCGTCCTTTAGGGCCAACAGAGAGCAAGAGGAAGCCTTCCGGGGTATCGTCACGTGTGAGCTCGAAAAAAGCGTGGTCTCTGTGGCCAGCCTCCAACAGTGGAGTTTTTAAATGCCAGGCTACAAACAGCCTCTTCTCAATGGTCAATTTTCCTCCAGGTGCGTAAGTTAGACACAAGCTAGCTAAGATGAGAACTATCCAGCTAGTTAGTAGGCATTAACCAGTTCTATAAAGAGTTCTGATGTCCGAGGCCCCAGGAGGCAGTGTCTGGAGGGTGGCGGCTGCTTCCAGACACGCGGACGCGAGACGCGCAGCCGGACGCCCACCAGCGCCCAGGCAGCCGCCTTCCCAGCAACCACTTCCTAAATGCTGCTGCCTTTTATTTTTTATTTTTAGAAAACGCACAAGTATTTTAAGATTCTTTGGCACCACCACACGGAAGAACCATGAATCACAACTTCAAACAGTGCCTGATGGTGAGCCAAGTGGCCCTTAGTCACCCTGACAGACGCAGGTAATCTGACGTCCATGAGAGAACCGGAGGCGAAGAGGGCATAGTGAGCCGAGCTCCAGAGGGGCCCCTGAGGCTGGGGCAGGGAGCGGGGTACACCGCAGGGCTGAGTTTCTGTTTGGGAGATGAAAACCCGCGGAAACAGACAGGGGTGATGGCCACATAACATGGTGGATGGGAGTAAGGTCATCAGATTGTACGCGGAAAGATGGCTGAAGTGGTACAAATTTAAAACTAAATAAAAGGTTCACCCTGATAGAAAAAATTCCATCAGACAAGCGTCATCCCACAGGGAAACTCCTGTTCTTTCCTTCTGGGGAAGACAGAAGCCACGTGGAAACGCCATTATGTGACTCAATATACTGTCTGCTGCCAAAGTTTTTCCACAAAAATGGAGAAAATAGGATCATTTGCCCTAATAATGCTGATCTCAAATGCCTGCATTTACAAACCACACCCACTGCCTGGAGTTCATTCTGACCCACAGCGCCCCTAGAGGACAGAGTGGAACTGCCCACAGGGTCTCCAAGGCTGTCAATCTTCACAGAAGCAAAGCCCAAACCACACCCACTGCCTGGAGTCCATTCTGACCCACAGCGCCCCTAGAGGACAGAGTGGAACTGCCCACAGGGTCTCCAAGGCTGTCAATCTTCACCGAAGCCAACTGCATCTATCTCCAGCAGAGTGGCTGGTGGGTTTGAACTGCTAATCTTTTGGTTAGCAGCTGAACACTTAACAACTATGTAAGCAAAATTCCTTAGAAGGAAACAAAGCAGGTCATAAATCTACATTTCCTTTAGTCAAAGATAGTTTATGTTTCAAACACGATGCTCTGGTAAAACAAGAACACCCAGGTACCCCGCCCAGCCAAGGGCAGAACACTGGCAATGCAAGTGGGATACCCCACCTGGCAAAGGGCAGGACACCAGCCGTGCATGTGGGATGCCCCACCCACCTTGGTGCTAATAACACCCAGTATTCAACACCCACAGGCCTTCACTTCACAATTTTCAAGAAGGTACATGTGCTCCAAGGAGCCTGGTAGCACAGTGGTTAAGTGTTCAGCTGCTAACTGAAAGGCTGGTGGTTGGAACCCACCAGCCGCACCACAGAAGATGAGGCAGTCAGCTTCCACTCCGTCCTCCAGGGGCGCTGTGAGTAGGAATGGACTCCAGGCAGTGGGTGTGGTTTGGGCTTTGTTTCTGTCAAGATTGACAGCCTTAGAGACCCTGTGGGCAGTTCCACTCTGTCCTCTAGGGGCGCTGTGGGTCGGAATCACTTGTGTATGGGTCCATGTGCTCCTTCAGTATGGTCACCAGAATAAATGGGGACGAGATAGTGAGAATCCTGAGGGAAACTGCGGGCAGAGGCGTTCAGTTTAGAATTCTTACCAGCTTTTTTTCAGAAAGCTGCTTCTTTTGAGGGGACCCTTGGCGCTTGGCACAGTTGGCACAGCTGACCGAGAGGAGCCTGGGAGCAGGTTCCAGCAGGAGGAGCTGGCTGGGCTGGAGGGTGGCCCTGGGGGCTGGAGCCCAACGCCCCACACCCTGCAATGCCGTCAGCCACCTTGCTGAGAAAAGTCTGGCAGGTACCATGGTCACCTGTCAAGATAAAGTTGAACAAAAAAGCTGAACTGAAACCTGGACAAAAACCTAAAAAATCCAGAGAGGAGCGTGAGACGGGTTTTTTTCCCTTCCCTTGTTGGGTGGGGTGGGGGAGTGGTTATGAAAGGGGTAAGATACAGGAGGGACCCTGGGAGGGCATCATGGATACGGGGCATGTACGAGATCCAGTCTTTATGTACGCATCTCGTGACAATGCTTTGAATGGCAAAAGCGGTCTTGAAATGCTGTATGGTTGTGCTAAATACAGATCACCACCATGCCTGGCATCGTCTCATTTAAGGGCGGGTCCAGAGGGGCTAGAAAGACAGACCCCAGGGAATCAAATCGTGGCGGCTCGGAGCTTATGGGATTGTGGGCATTGTTTATGTATTTTTCTAAGGCGTCGTTTCTGAGTTTTTCTTATGTTTTTTCTGTACTAAGCACTCACTTATTTTATAATAAAACAAACAAAATATAAAAAGTAAAACAGAACCCTTTTATGCTTATTTTTCCAAATTTTAAAATTATATTCTCAGAAAACCGTTCTTATTCTGTATGGTAGCGTTCCTGGAATTTTAACCATTTTTCAAACAGATTGAAAATGATCATTGCGATCACCGGGCAACATTTCCAAAGGCACGAACGGGCCCCACCTTCTCTACCGCTTTCCGCTTAGGACTGTGAAGGGCCCCTCAGCCTGAGTGCTCCGTGGGGCGGGAGGGTGAGAACCAGGGAGCTCTGCAGCACCTGGCACGCTCCCCCCAGAACATCAAACACCTGCTCCGTGAAAATCTGAGAAAGCAAATGTGCCCTCAAGTCAAACTTCTCACAAACCAAGACTCCCGTGACTCAAGTGCTGGGGGCTGTCAAGTTGGACGACAAGGGCAGCAAATCATGGTACCGGGGACTGGGCCCCTGGACTCGAGCCACTAACCCAGCACCGTGGCCAGGAAAGTCACTGTGCCGCCCCCTTGAAGCCCCACCTGTCCCGCGTCCGCCTGCCTCACCCTCCCTGCCCGCCCCGCCTCAGTCCCCTGATCCGCACAGCATACACGGTGCGCTCACTCCTGAGGCACTGCCCGCGGGGCCAGCACACGTGCGTGCTCAGCAAGCGTGAAGGCCTCTCCCCGTGCCCGGCCGTTCGCGCCATCCCCGCCCACGAGGCTGCCCGGGTGACTCTGGGTGGTGTGGGGGCTCCTCCCTTCCCTGCTGAGTGCCGGCTGCACGCAGGCACACAGACGTTTATAGCAGCTCTATTTTTAACGGCCAACACTTGGAAGTAACCAGATGTCCGTCAAAAGGTGAACAGATAAACAAAGCCGTTCATGGTTTATCGAGAGGGGGTGGTAGCATCAGACATAAAAAGAAACAAGCTATGGAGGCACAAAAAGACGCGAGAACCTGAAACGTTGCTAAATGGTGTCCCTGGGTGGCAAGTGGTGCCCCTGGGTGGCACAGGCGGGTGAGCACCAAAAGGCTGGCAGCTCGAGTCCCCCCAGGGGTGCCTCCAAACACAGCCTGGCATCTACCTCCAGAAGCTCTCGAACACCCTGTGCAGCTCTCCACACACGTGGGCTCGACTTGACAGCACAAACCACAGCGACACGTGCTGAGTGAAAGAAGCCCGTTTAAGGAAGCCCCAGGTGTGAGCCACAGAGGCCGTGAGATCAGCGCCCTCCCCGTCCAGAGCCAGGCAGGCGCACACAGGTGGGGCATGGGGCATCGTGAGGGCGACAGGAGTGCTCTGTGCGACACTGTCATGGTGTGCAGACATTACCCATTTGTCAAACCCACAGGACTGATGACACACATCAGGGAACCCCGAGGGAGACCACGGACCTCAGTTACTGACAAGTGAACCAGCATCAGCCCACCAACTGCTGTCCCACAGGAACAAGGTGTCAACCCCAGGGGAGACCGGAATGGTGCACTGTCTGCACAGGTGTCTGTGACCGACAGCTGCCCTAAAAAGCAGTGCACACATTTAAAACACGAATCTTTACCACCAGCGCAGAGAGAGGGGCAGCCACTTACCAAAGTCACAGAGCTGTGAGGTACAGGGCAGGGTGCAGAAACAGAGGTCGTTCAGAGGGGACGCAACTCCTCCGTCTCGGGACAAGCAGGTCCAGCACCAGGCCCACTGGAGTCAGGCCGCCCTCCCCACACACGAGAGTCCACAATGCCGGCGACATGACACCCGAGGGCCATCCGTTGCAGAGGTGACACCCCACAGCCACCCAGGCCCGAGCTCAGGGCCGTGCGTGATCTGGTCCGCCTCCTTGTTGCCTGCCAGTGTCTGCTCAGACAGCTTGGGGCTCTCTTGGCAGCAAACCATGAAGTCAGCTGCTTCATGGTGTATCTGGTTTGTGTATCACCTTCCAGGAAGGTGTGACCTGCATGGTCCAATTTTCACTAGGTACAATTCCAGTTCATCAGGGCCCTGGCCACATATCAAGTGCTCAGAGCCACGTGGTGAGTGGCTACTGGACGGGATGTGCAGGTTGGAGCCTTCGTGACCTCACCGCCAGTCCTGTGGGCCAGCACTAGCCTGTACTGTGCAGTGAGAGCCCAGGCCAGCCCTCCCGACAGCACCCAGCACAGCCCAGTGCTGAGCGAGGACAAGAGAGGAAGCTGGGCTCTGAAGGACGAGCAGAAAGTTACAATCATGGAAACAAGTGCTGAAAACGCCAGAACCCCACCGTGATGACAGGGCCCACGACCTGCATCCACCCAAACCCACAGGCCTGTGAAAAACAGCTTGTGTAAACGCGGACTCTAGAGGGTCAGAACGATGTGTCAGTATCGGTGCAGCGATTGTACCCAATGGACCCCAGCAATATAGCTGCTGGTCTCAGGAGGGCTCTGCAGTGGGACAGGGCTCATGGCAACTCTTGGTGCTTCCTGAGCAATTTTTGCAGAAATCGGCACGTTAAAAAAAAAAAAAAAAGTGCTTGGGAAAGCACTCAGTAAAGGTGTGAGGGCACCACATTAGACAATATTGTTGTTGATCTATAAAGCGGTCGCACTCCACGGCCACTGGTCTGAGGTTCTGACTTGTCAGGACCCTCTTCTTAAGCCACAGATTCTTGCATTTATTCCTTACGACCCCTAATGAGAGGGCAAGGACCCCTCAGGACGTGCTGCCAAGGGGACGTCTGTACAGACGACTGCCTGCAAACCTCAGGAGCAGCTGTCCTGTGCTCTGTAGGGGCGCCCAGGTCAGCACTGACTCGGCCACAGTGGGTTTTTGGTTGGTGTGTCTAAATGAGAATACCTCATTTAAAGGTGCATGCTGGGATCACCCTTCCACTTGCTGTTACAGACCTTTCCACCCTTCCCAGAAAATCCAACCCCAGAGAGACGAACAAAGGGGGAAGCAACCATTTCACTGAGAAGCTGTGTTTGCAAGGAACTGGTTCAAGTGCAAATCAAGTAACAAACTTGGTATGGTACTTCTGTGCAACTGTATGTTACTAATAATTGTAAAGAAACACCTAGAACATTTTTAGTACTACTTAGAATCTTACACGAAAAAAATTTCATTTAAATCCATGTATCTACCCTTGTGGGAGAATTACAGTAAGGTGATTAAGAAAAGACTTTCAACCACAAAAGGCACGCTGGTGGCGCAGTGGTTAAAGCATTCAGGTGCGGACCACATGGTGGGTGGTTACAACCATCAGGCACTTCCTGGGAGAAAGAGGTGGCCAGCCTTGGAAACCCTCTGGGGCAGTTCTAGTCTGACCGATACGGTCACCATGAGTCGGCATCAACTCCACGGCAATGACTTTGGGTTTTGGTTCGTTTTTAACCGTAAAAATACCTTGTGTGGGAAAGTAAAAAAAACCCTCCAAGTTCTAAGCGAGAGCGGGACTGTTAACTGGGAGCTTGTCCCCCGCGCTGGGGATAGGCATCCACTCTGCAGACTCCCGGGTGCAGGGGCTTCACCCGCGACGCTCTCCCGGTAGCATCCTTTGCTGCCGCAGTAGCAAACCCAGAATGCCCTGGCCCACCACCAAGAAAGCGCGCTCCGGTGAACCGCGGCTGCGAGTCAGCAGCGACGCACCGGTCCCGCGCCAACCTGCAGCACGCGCCCCCCGAGCGCAGGACGCACAGCACAGGAGCAGCTGGGCAGAGCGGCGGCGACCCGGGCTCCCGGACTTGGCGCTGGAAGAATAAAGGCTACGTGACTGCAGCGTACCGGGCGGGACTCGCCTCTGCTCGGGCTGCGTTGCCAGGACAGCCCGGTACTAGCGGCCCCGTCGCTCACTGCTAAACGAAGAATGAGCGAGATGTTTCGAGGGTCGCCGGGACATCGTGCAGGCGTCTCGAATCCCGGTCGACGGCCCGCGCGCCCACGTACGAGCGGGCAGCCCCGGTCACTGCAGCAGACGCTGGCTGGCGCAACCCGGTGGGCCCCGGCTACCCACCCGTCCCCGCTCTCGGGCTCGAGGGTCCGCATGCCGCGGGCCCGCACTCACCGGCTCGGAAGGAAGAATCGCTTCCGGGTCACTCGCTCGCGGAGGCTGAGGGTTATTTCCGGGGCAGCTCGGTGTGTGACAAGACACGCCAACCCCGCCCCTCCTGTGGCCCCGCCCCGGCCTCCGGACGCATTTGCGCAAGGCCTCCCGGCGCGCATGCGCAGAGACCTGAGGACCCGGGCGAGAGCTGCAGAATCCCGGATGGTGCGCGAGTGCTGGTCGGGGTGGGCCTCGCAACCAGAGCGCTTGGCAGCTCCGCCCTCGGCCACAACGTACAAGGGCTTGTAGGTTCCGTGTGAGACTGGGGCGTCCAAACACCCCTGAAGGCTGCAGCGCCCGGCGGGGAGAGGTGGGCGCCGCTTCCGGAAAGGGCGCCTCGAGCCTCCTGAAACGCCACGTCCTGGAGGCCACTGCCTCACTTCGTCCTCGCCATGGCGTCCGCCTGGCCCAGGAAGCCTGTGGGTGCGTTCCCACCGGCCTGGTGTTCTCTTGTAAGGGGATTCTCAGTCGCGGCCCCGACAGTCGACCAGGGCCCTACTGAAGGGGTTTGCTGATCCCCAAATGTGGTTAACTCCGGAAGAGCTCACTTCAGGCATGATTTCTGAAGAACCAGTTTATTAATAGATTACACCGAAAACATAAAGGATTTATACACCAAACTCTAAACAAAAAGGCTAAAAATGTACTGTACTCACAACAAGTTAGACCTGTTCAATAAATAGAAATGAAATGATGACTAAAAACTGTAAACAGAAAATGCAAAGCCTTCCTCTGTGTATACTTTGCACGGACGCCGACATTCAGCTGGACAGCTGGAGGCCCTGGGGTCTCCAACTCACGGCATGGGAAGGCTTGGCTGAAGATCCCGGCAGAGCTCCACCCTCATCCAGTTCCCGGCGGCTCTCCACGTGAGTTCTGGGTAATTTTCCATACACTATATCCAAGGCTACCAGTGTGTGGACAGTGAACTCGAGCGGGATTGCTTTTGCCTACCAACACGGATTTGTCAGCGCTGCTGGACTTGTGGTCATGATTTCTCAAATGCACTACTTGTTGGATGTCAGACAAGAGGAGGACGAACGGGCTTTAATTTCCAAGTCTTCCTTTGCACCTCCACTAGCCTTGCATAGCCATAAAATGCAAGCCCCATCAGCCACACTACCTGGACGAGTCATCGTGCTGAAGCCTTTTTCAAACGTTCATGTTACAGAAGAGAAGACAACGAAAAAGAACGGCTGACATCACTCTGTCCCCACAATAGTGTTACATGAAAACGGACAACACTTTAACATTCTGTTATTAATCGTTAAAGATATTAACACCAAAAAAAGAAGATATTAACACCAAAAATCATGTATAAATTAGGAGATAGATAAATGTACAAACTATTTTGCAAAGTGCTTTTTTAAATACATATACAACATTCAAGAAATTCTTAATGTAAGACATTTCAGATGGAAGTTTGAGGGTACTTTTTTTTTTTTAAAGTGTTTTTTTTTTCCCAAAAAGTATTTCTACAGAATGTTAAAAATAAAAACATAACCACAGTAAAGGCCTATTCCCAGATTGGAAAGAATAAGAATAAATGGTATTGTCACGGTTCTCTAAATTGTTAAACATTTCCAATGGGAAATTATAGTCCCCAGTTAAGGTCGCAGATTAGTTATATGAAAACTGTCAAGAAGGAAAAGAACAAAAACGAGGGGGATGGCTCCCCAAGTGAAGCTGCTCACACCTCCATCATTGCGCAACTCAGAACTCCCCATGATTCCATGTGGAAACCGACATGTGTCAGGCCCTTTAAGAGTTTTATAAACCTGTGTGCCTACAAAATACCGCTCACATCCTTTTAATGTAGGGACGGTGACCTAGAACAGGATTGTGCACTGGACCGGTGGGGCTGGGGGCCTACATCGGAGCCTGTTCCCCATCTGTCAGTGGGAAACGTTAACGGCTTCCATATTCCAGTGTAGGCCGTCAGGGTTAATTCAACCGGAAAACACACACATGCCTCACAAACTGTAAATCACAAGCTTCCTCAGGACAAAGAATTACTTTTCTGTTTTTAAAATATAAACCTTATAAAAGAAAAGCATTGTCTTCAGCAGGCCTCATACAGCCAGAATCGGGTATTTTTTGCATTCCCTTGGTAGTTCTCGGAAATACCTCAACGTCTATTTGAAGCACTTACTTTTTTAAAGGGTTCATGGCCAATGTGGATATTATCATCCAAGTAAAGGTCGATCAGATATCCGCTCTACACACAGTGGGATCGTCAGTCTCCCTCTGATCACACTTCTTCACGTGAGCTTCTTGAATGTGTGCAGTGTCTGAGTGGGCCAGAACATCCTAGGAATGTGAAAGTTACTCCAATTTCTCTACATAAAACCTTTTCATGAGGGAGGACACAGTAAAGTTATTGGGGCTCCTTCTAAAAATAGGACGTGCATTTCAGATATGCCTAACGGAAAAGGAATGCTTGCTTGCAGATCTGAACAAGTGGGTCCTGGAAGAAATAATATAAGAGAAACAACTTGCTAGCGGTTTGGAAAATTGGGTATCAATATTTCAATTCATCTAAAGTTAGCGTGGGGTGTATTAGATACTTGAATCCCAGCAAGGACCATCAGATACACAAGGGCTGAAGCCAGAGGCCCTTCTGATGCCCATACCCGGGGGACAGTTCTTTCTGGCACTTGGGCCACTCTCCTCCTGTCCCACTAACCATACATTGCCTTTGTGGACTCATCTTTGTTGGGAACACAGTCATTTCTCTCTCTTTACTTCTTAATGAAAAACATGGGACTTTCTGGAAAACCAGAATCAGCATGAGACCTAAGTAATGAGCAAGCTCCACTGACTGTTCACAGTGTCTCCAACAGTAACACATGTCCATCCAATGCACTGTGTGACAGGAGCTGTCCCCACACACAGAAAAGCGCCCCTGTGGCACAGAAGGGGCCGCTTTCAGGAATGTGTGTGTCAAGTTGCAGTGTGGCCAGCTAGAGAAGTTACACCCCGCGTTGGGACAACAGCGTGAGCAGAAAGACCAGACCTGAAGTCTGCTCTGTGGATACATGGATGAGGTGGTTAGGTCGTTCCCACTGCTGGCACACAGCACTCTGATGACATGACCCCTACAGCTAGCTAGGAACGCTGAGGAAGGGGGACATAAAAAGGACCACCTTTCCACCACATCAACATACAATCCTATACACAGCACCGGATGTGTCACATGGCTCCAGCCCAGCCTGTGCCAGCCAGCACACCTGGCGTCGTACCCCGCATGAAATGAGCTTCGCATGCAGATGCTGCGCTGGGCAGAGGGGACCCAAGGTCACAGCTCATCAGAACTGCTGCTGGTCCATCTGCTCCCTGGATGGACACGCTGCTGCAAGGGCATTGACAAGAATGCGTGTCCCTTACTGCTGGTAGTTCCCATACTGGCCCTGAAAGAGAGGACGACACATTACATTCAAGAGCGCGAACTTTGTAAGAGCCCCTTAGCCATCCAGGGCCAACATCCAGGATGAGAGGAAAAATGCACACACTCCCACGAGCAGTACAGAATCTATGTGCAGAGATTGGACCTCAAAGTCCAATGCTGTGACCCTTAGGTCACAGAGGCTCATTGGCCAGTCGGACACAGTGCTTAGTCACATGAGGTCCCCACAGCAAGGGGCGGCTGAGGAAGGCGGGGCAGCTGAGGAAGGTGGGCCCACAGCCCCAGATGCGTGGCACTACCACCCCAGCATGCTAGCACAGGAAAGGAGTGACGAAGGTAACGATTTCAGTTAATGTGAACTCAACAAGTGAGGGTGAGGGTGTGTGCCCAGTGAGGCCACAGAAGGGGTGGCTCCCTGGCTTCCCACTGATTCAGTGAGGTTTCCCGGACACCCACAAGAAGCAGCAGGGGAGGGAGAACGCCCCCAGCCCCTGGCCCCAGGAAAGCGTCTGGTCTGCTCAGTGGGCTGTGAGCCCCTAGTACAGCAGCCATGTTGGCCATGACTGTACCCGGTGCTCAGGGCAGAGGCTAGGCTCAGGGAGGCCCTCCACAAATGCTGGTCACACGGATAAGCCAGTGGATGAGGGAGTCACGCCTGCAGAGGTGATGATGAGTTCAGGACAGTGAGGTGAGAGGGCCTGCAGTGCGCAGGCCCGGTAGGTGCAGAATTAATGCTCCAGAAGGGGCCCTGGAAATGTGTCAGCCCCATCTTGTCACTCGTAGCCACCAGAAACTGCCTCCGCATCTTGAAAGACATGGCAGACGCCCACTCTGGGAAGCACCCAGGAAGCTTGCCTGCTCATAGCCATACGGCCTCTGCTGCTGAGCGGATGGTCCCGTCTGAGATGAACGGTAGCTTCCGTACTGTTGGCCTTGTCCCTGCTGGTAGCTGGAATACTGTGCGGGGGCGCCCTGGGCAGGCCCTGAGGAGAGACAGCAGGAGCCACGTGACCACACACTTGGCTTCTTGGCCCTTTGCAAATCTCTAAGACACTTGGTACCTGGCTTTCTGCTACATGAAATCCACAGTCCAGTGCTCCGCCAACCCCACCTGACCCCCAGGCCAGTCTGCCTGGTGCCCTTCAGGGCCCCTGTGAGGCCTGGGATGATGCCCTTGACCCAGGGCAGGTGGCTCCAGGGTGCCTCTGCACACCTGCATGCCCTGGAAGCAGGTGAGCAGTGGGCTGACCAAGCCTCTGCCAGTTTAACGGTGGCTGCTGTAAACACAGCACTTCATTAAAGTCAGGAACTAACAGTGTGTCTACTAAGGCCGAGGCTTTGGAAAGAATCCAGAATGGCTGTTTAATCAGTCACGGCCGGTATGGCTGGGCCAAGGCTGGGGCAAGCACTCCTTCCTCAGCGCACATCAGAAGCCCCGGGGAACTTGAACAAACACCAAACCTCACCTGCAGCCCCGCCTGAGAACTGAGACCATGTCCTCTGCTTGGGGCAGCCTGGCCCAATTTGTCAGAAGCTTCTCAGGTGACTTCAGCCACAGGCCCCTCCCCCAGCATCTGAGGTCCTGGCCTCAACACGGTGGGAGGGGGGCCTGAGGGCGAGGCACCCACTGAGAGGCTCCCGCAGGCAGAGTACAGACACAGACACCTGTCAGAGCCTTGGTGGAGGAGTTTCTGCATGTACTCCCAGTCAGGAGAAGGGTTCCAGGCACTGTACGTGAATGTCTGGTGACAGCCCGCTGATCCCACCCCCGGTGATCCCCCGCGCCTCCCACGCTGACCCCGGCATGTCTGAGCCTCCGCACCTCCCGTGCTGACCCCGGTCCCCGTGAGCCCCCACACCTCCCATGCTGACCCTGGCCCCCGTGAGCCCCCACACCTCCCATGCTGACCCTGGCTCCCCGTGAGCCACCACACCTTCCACTCTAAGCCAGTTGTCACACAGGCCCTGGTTGTACATTCTGAACTCAGTCACCTGCATGGCCACCATGTGGGAGCACAGGTCCTAAGCACTGAGCCCATCCAGGTGCATCTCAGAGACAAGACATGGGGAGAGACTCCCTGGGGGAGGGACTCTTGCAAACACAGCCATGGTGAGGGGCAGGCACTGCCTGTGGGGACAAGGCCCCAGGGAGCCCAATGCCTTTCACTTTGCTTAGATGACTGACCTTAGTAAGACTGGATGTCTTCCTTTCTGCCCAACCCTTCTTCTGGCCCCCTGCCCACTTCCTGGTGTCCTGACGCAGCCCTGTAGACAGGGTACCCTTGGCGGGCCCTGTCCCATGTTAGTCCAGGCTGATGTGAGAGATGCACAGCACTAGCAAACACATAGTTGCTTCGGGGTTCAGATCAACAGATGCCACTGTGGCCTGGGCCTGTCTCCAATGCCATCGTGGCAATAGCAAAACAAGGTCACACCTGATGTGTCCAACACCATGGCTGCGACAGCAAAGCATGGTCACACCCAACGTCTCCAAAGCCGTCGCTGCGACAGCAAAAGGTCACAAGTGACGTCTCCGACACTGTCGCCGCAATGGTGAAACAAGGTCACACCTGACGTCTCCGACACCGTAGTGGCGACGGCAAGACAAGGTCACACCTGACGTCTGCAACACCATCGCTGCTACAGTGTAGCAGTCACACCCGATGTCTCCAATGCCGTTGCAGCAGCGGCAAAACAAGGTCACACCTGACATCTACGACACCGTCGCCACAACAGCAAAGTATGGTTACACATGACATTAATGGTAGGGGCACTGGGGCCAGGTACCAGGCATGCTCCGTACAACCTTGCAACTTTCTGTAAATTTAAACTCACTCCTACACAACAAAGTTGTTGAAAAGCATTCCCCCCCAGGGTGGCCGTGCGGGGTCCTACCGTAGCCTTGCTGCTGCCCAGGGTAGCTCTGCTGGTTGGGGTACTGCTGCTGGGAGTACGTCTGCGGCTGGGCTGTCCCTTGCTGGTAGCCTGCCTGCTGCTGGCTGTACTGGGGGTTTCCTGGAAGGGAAGGAGAAGCTGAGCTGAGCGGCTGCTGCAGGAGGCCACCTGTGAAGCCCTGGACCACGTCAGTACTTCAGTTGGCGTCTCTGCCCACCGCGCACTGAGGATTTTATCACGTCAGCTTGTAATCATTTTAGAAAAAGAAAAGGGAAGCCAAATGAACCAAACAGTTAATATGACAACCGACACAGAGCCTGGTGACACTCTCATGGACCGAACTTGTTCCGCAACAGTCACATCCCAACCCCCGTATCTGTGGGTGTGACTGTGTCTCGAAACTGGCTCTGTGATGTGGACACTGTGGCACACGGAGGACGCTGTGTGGTGACAGGCAGAGCGGGGGCCACCAGGAGCTGGGGGAGGGGCAAGGTAAGGGCCCTCCCTTGAGGCCTTGCAGTGTAGTAAATTACATAGTGTGAGTACGGTTTTTCTAGCCATAAATCTTTGTAAACTCCATGGTGGAATTTGCCATGAGCAACTGAGTAGCTCCTGATTGTTAAAGTTATCCACTGGGGGTATTTCTGTTGTGAGTGGCACAAAGCAGTCTTCTGGAAAGTTCTCTCTCTCTCTCAAGTGGATAGAATTCTGATGTTGGAATTGGTTAGTGGTCACTCTGCCAGGCTCACAAGGAGCCCTCCTAGAAGCAGAAGAAGTCTGACTGGTGGCTGAGAGACACATACTGCTGAGAGAGAGACACAAGAGACACACACTCCTGAGAGAGCGGTGTGCTACTGAGACTGCCAGCTGCTGAGTGAGACTGCAGGCTGCTGAGTGAGACTGCCAGCTGCTGAGTGAGACTGCAGGCTGCTGAGTGAGACTGCCAGCTGCTGAGTGAGACTGCAGGCTGCCAGAGACTGAGTGCACTTCTGAACTTGAATGGTAGACTGGTGCTTCCCTGATAAACCCAATCATCTGTGAGTTCTGTGTGGCCACTGCAGCAAATTATCGAACCCAGCAGAGAGTTGGTGGGTGCTGCGGGAGCAACGGTTGGTAAAGCGCTAGAGGGAGGCAACATGTCTGGCCTCACAGGAACAAGCCTTCAGCTACTGATGGTGAATCTGTCTTCCTCTTGTGGGGTTAGAGGAGGTCAAAAGATACGGCCTCCCTGCCCCTTTGGCAGGCTTCCAGGAGCCAGCCCCGCTGACGCCTTGATCTGTGACTCTTGGCTTTCAAGAATGAATTTCTGTCGTCTTTACCCGCCAGGTTTGTGGGACTGTGTTCCACCAGCTTTAGCACACTAACACACACACTGAACACGCCCACAGCACAGATTTGAGGAAGGTGGATGAGAGCAGGTGGGCGGCAGTGGATACGACTGGGAAAGTGAAGAGCAGGGGAGGGCAGGTGCTGGGGCCAGGGCCCCCCAACTGAGGACTAGAGTAGGCACAGCAATGCCATGCCAGAAGGAGACCTGGACTGAGAGGTGCAGATGGCAACACTGTATCTACCAGAGCCATGTCATGACTTCAAGGACCATCCAGCGGATCAACTACTGAAAAACACTCTCACCAATGAGAAAACATGGTACGTGTCAAGAACCTGGCCGTGGGCCTCGGGCTCAGAGCTGTGTGTCAGGAACCTGACTGTGGGCCACACGGGCTCGGAGCTGCGTGTCGGGAACCTGGCTGTGGGCTCGGAGCTGCATGTAAGGAACCTGACCGTGGGCCATGAGGGCTCAGAGCCCCGTCCAGAGATCTCACTGCATTCCCATCATAACACCGTGAGCTAAGCACCTGGGTTGTCCCATTTCACAGATGCAGAAACTGAGGCACATGGCCAGTTACGTGAAGGAGCCAGGATTCAGAGCCAGGCAGCTCAGAGCAGCAAGTGAGGGTGGGGGCAGGTCAGCTCAAGCAGTGGCGGGACCAGGGAAAGCCTGCCTCACATAGTGAATGCACAAAAAGCCACGGGGGTCCCCGCACGGAGCCTGCATTTCCAGCTTCCGGAAGTGAACTCGGCTTGCACACCCCATGCTGCGTGTCCTTCTGTGGGCTTCCACCCAAGCTGATGTCAGGCAGACCCTGCCCATCCTCAGAGGGGCCCTGACCCCCGTGGGTCCCTGGTGCCTTACCGCCCTCATAGTAGTGCTGAGCGGATTCCTCGAAGGAGCGGTCATAGCTCTGGTCCGTGTAGGACGACTGCTGGTAGGCATAGTCCCCATGGCCTGTGGGCAGACAGAGAGCTATGGTCAGCAGAGGCTCTGTGGCCAGTCCTGAGCCAGAGGTGACACTGCCCCGGGGCAAACCCTACTTCCCAGGCCGACCATGCCCTGAGGAAGTGGCTCCCAGCCCCACACCTCAGTTTCCTGCTCTGACAGGCAGGTGTCAGTGATGTAGGCAATTGGTATGAAGAGTGACTGACCAAGACAGCTATCCAGTAACTACAGCTGCCATCACCACTGCTCCTGCCTCATCCACTCGGGTGCCATGAACCCACCATGGGCCCTGTCCTGTGTCACTCACCATGCTACAGGGACGCTCACCTCATGGCCGTCTCTAACACCTACCCACCATTCACTTCCAGCCTGCCGTGCCTGTGCTCCCTGCCCAGGTGGCCTTCTCTGGGGAGCCCCATCTTCACTCTCCAAAGTCCCAGCCACCCTTGAGGACCATGTTAAATGTCACAAAGACTGGGATTCCTTAAAGATGACAGAAAGTGACATCCTTGAGGGAGGTCCTCTGTGGCATTAACTGGACGGCAGGGAGCCCAGTGTTAGAAGCTGCTGTGGAAGGGTGGCCGCCTTCCCGAACCACTGTGTGATGGGATGTGGCTGAACAGGAAGGAAAACGAGGGGCTCCAGGCGGCAGTGGAGTGTGCTAGAAGCTCTCTAGGACCATGCACTGCCCACTGTCAGCCCAGCTCTCACCCCAATCTTTGAATGTGCTCCAACAAGGGAGTGCTGTGAATTAACTTCCTATGGTCCTTCTAGCCATGCACTCTTGCAAAGCCCACCAAATGCTTGGGTGGGACCATACAAATGAGGTGCCTGTGGTCCACCAAGGGGATCTGACAGCTTGCTAATAAACCCAAGAAGGTGCATTGCACCCTTATGGGAGTGGGCCCATGCAAAGAAAGTGTATGGAACCCTAATGAGGGGATTGGTCAGTTCTGCCATCTTGGTAGGCTTAAAATCAGCCTCTTAGAGGTGGAAAGAGGGACCTCGCTACCATCAAGGAGAGATGGGAGTGGAGCATGTCCCATGGCTAAAAGCCTCCCAGACCCAGAGACAGGGAGCGGTAACTTGAGAATGGTGGCCAGAGAAGAACCAGGAGCATGGAGAGACAGAGAGACGGCACAGTGGGAATGCCAGCGTGCCGAGCGAGTGCGCCAAGCACGTCTGAGCAGGAGGCTGATGGGCAGAGCAGGCGGCCTCTGGGCACTTGTCAGCAGAGCTAAAGAGCTGGTAACACTTGGCCGAGAAGGACAGAGGCCAGGCCAAGGGGCTGAGGCGCCAGCAGGTGGAGGGCCAATAAGAAGCCAGCTTGCACATGCTGCTGACAAGAGGTGTCCTGACCGGAGAGCTGTGTCCTGAGTCCCTCCTGATCCTGCCTGTAGCCTATTACTTCCCTAACAGACCCCAGCATCTGAGTCTGCTCTATGACCTCTCTGTAGCTAGTTCAACAAATTACCAACCCGGCAGAGAGGCAGGGCACAGGAGGGATGGCTGTGCCAGGACTGGCAAGAAGGCTGGAGGGCAGGGGCGGGCCTGACCGCACCTCACGGGGCTCAGCTTGGGGCTGACACCGATGGCGACTGTCCTCCCCTTGTGAAGTCAGAAGAGGAGGTGACGCCACCTGCACCCCACTCCTACAGGGGGATGTGGATGCTCTGAAGCAGCTCTGGTGACCCAGCAGTTGGAAGCGTTTGGCTACTAGCTACAACGTTGGCGGAACCCACCAGCCACTCTGCGGGAAGAGGAGGAGGCAGAATGCCTCCAGAAAGATTGACAGCCTCGGAAACCCTGTGGGGCAGTTGCACTCTGTCAAAATAAGAGGGTTGCTATGAGTTGGAATCAACTCCATGGCAGTGGTGGGTGGGTTTGGGACAGCCTGCTCTCCCAGCTGGCACGGCCCCTTGGCCCTCCGCTGACTCTGGTGGCCCCAAGAGCTAAACCAGGTCCCAGCAGTAGCGCTGCACCCAGACTCACCATCGGGGTAGTACTGCTGGCTCATGGGCTCCGTGGCGCCCTGGCTGTGGCTGTACTGCTCACTGTAGTACTCCTCCTGGCCCAGGTACTGCTGTGACGAGCCTGCGGTCACACACCACGTGCTGCACTTGGCCGGCCAGCCCGCAGCCCCCTCCTCACTCCCAGGGCTGTCCTGAGGGAACTTCAGACACAGGCCCACAGAGCAGGTGGCCAGCTCGCAGACGCCGTGCAGTGTCACCGAGGGGTGGGGGGACAGCCTCACCACTGCGCCCTCACTCTGCCCTCTCCAGCTCCCCACGTCGTGCGTGGGCTTTGTACTTACGAAAACAACAGACCCCCAGCACTGACCCTGCGCCCCATTCCAACTCCATGGGCAACAGACTCCGTCCTCCCCAAGGGAAACCCAGGAGCAGGGGCATGAGTAGACACATTTGCAGGCACTGCACATGCGCCAAACGCCCCACCCCCGTGGGAGCACACCTGACTTGACATGGAGGAACTCAGCGTTCACGAGGGCCTGGCACGTGTGGGTCTGCATGCACGGTGGGCGTTACCTTGCTGGGAGGCCCGGTACGGTGCCATGGGCCGCTGCCCCATCAAGCCACTGGCCTGGCCGCCCTGGCCCATCATGGCGATGGACGACTGGCCCTGGTAGTGCTGGCTCCCGCCCTGCGCGGAGTTATAGTGGGACGTGGCCGCCTGCTGGTGCATCATGGACACTGCAGACAGAGCAGGGCCCGGGTGGCCATGGAGGCAGCATCCAGGCGGCATGCGCCCTTTGTCACCTTTCAACTATGGTCCTCCCAGCATCGTCCCCAGCTCCGAGCACATTGCCACTCCAGACCTGCACCACTGCCTGCCCCCTCGAGCCCCAACTCATGGGACGTTCAGCAACAGCACCGCTAGGCAGGGGCCCCACAGCAAACAGGAGTGCCCGTACATGCACTGCCACACTTCTACGCTGGGCTCGTCTCCATGGAGACCAATTCTGCCTGCCTTCCCCAGGGCTAGCCCTAAGAGCCCAGTCCTTACCCCACCTCCCAGTGACCCTCACCCCGTCCCAGTGATCCTGACCCCACGTCCAGTGACCCTCACCACTGACCTCCTAGTGCCCTGACCTCCCAGTGACCCTCACTCCTGACCTCCGTGACCCTCACCTCAACCTCCCAGTGACCCTAACCCCTAACCTCCCAGTGACCCTGACCTCCACCTCCCAGTGACTCTCACACGACCTCTGTGACCCTCATCCTAACCTTCCAGTGACCCTGATACCTGACTTCAGTGACCCTTACCCTGACATCACAGTACCCTGACCCAGACCCAGACCCCCCCATTGACCCTGACCCCTGATCTCCCAGTGACCTCCACTCCTGACTGCCCTGTGACCTATGACCCTTTTCTGATCTTCCAACGAACCCTCATCCCTGACCTCTCTGTGCCCCATGACTGTCACACACCCTGCTCCCTCACTGGCCAAGAACTGCAGCCCTCACTGCTGGCCTTCTTATGACCCATGACCCTCACCCCTGACCTCCCAGTGACCCTGCTGGCCTCTTAATGCTCATGGTAGACTCTTCCACACCTACAGGCCTGTCAGATAAGTCACCCCAGCTCAGAACCTCCTAGAGTATGCTAGCAACGCAAACGGGATAGGAGCCACATTGAAAAAGAAAAAATGGAACAGGTAAAACCAACTTTAATATTGCATTTCCTTTGACCAAAGGTGTCTTTTCCAATCTTTTGCTTGCTAACCTCCCAAATCTGGGTTGCCTCTGGTGCTGACAGCAGACCTGTGCGTGGATTCAGGCCCAATGGCCCCACGCGGCCAGTGCCCCTGTACTGAGAGTCGGGCTCGCGTGGCTTCTGCTGCCCCAGAGGGGGTCCAGCCACAGGCCTGTGCTTGTGGACCAGCAACATCTTTACTTCCCCCATGTCTCCATGAAGGAGCTCTGGTGGGGCAGTAGTTAAAGCAATTGGCTGCTAACCAAAAGGTTGATGGTTCAAATCCACCAGCTGCTCCACGGAAGAAAGATGAGGTAGTCTGCTTCTGTAAAGACTGACAAGTCTTGGAAACCCAACAGGGGTCACTATGAGTCAGAACTGACTTGATGGCAGTGGGACTCGTTTTGGTTTCGGGGCCTCCGTGACACCAATCCTCCTCTCTCAGGCCAGGCAAACTCCACCTCCTCAGGCACTGTGCTGAAGCCCCCGTGCAATCAGGCCCCAGGCCAAGCCTCGTGCACCCACCTCCCCTGCACCCTGACGCTGCTGGAAGCAGGAGCACAGCTCCCATGAGGGCCTCCCTGGGGACCGAGCGTGGGACCTGACCCTGCCTGCAGGCTCTGGGGCAGAGGTAGGCAGTGGAGGTACCTGGGTTGGACTGCATGTTGATGTTGGTCCGAGACACGTAGTTGCCGATAGTGCCCTGGCCCTGCAAGGGCACACTCTGCGAGGCGGGTCCCGCGTGACTGTAGCCGGGCCCTGAGCTGTGGCTGCCGCCCGACATGCTCATGGAGGTGGTGGGCAGAGTGCTCTGTGCTGTCGGCTGCAGGGACACGTGGTTCGGACCTGCCGGGAGGGACACACGAGGGGCTGGGCAGGTGGAAGCAGTTCTACGGCTTGCCAGTGCCATGTCCTCCAAAGGGAGGCTGACACAGTGGTTGACGACACTGGCTGTTTAGTGAACGACTGAGCGACCAACAAAGGAGCAAACCACAGGGACTAAGACAACCATGCAACGGTCAGTCATCCTCATGACTCTCAGCCCAAAGATGGGCGCACAGGCCACGCCCCTGAGAAGCAGCAGGAGGCCCTGCAAGGCACGCATGGTCAGGGCTGGAACCCACCCACGGGTGCCTTGGAGGACAGCCCTGGAGATGGGCTTCTGGAAGGTCCCAGCCTTGAGAAGCCTGTTGT